CAAAGGAGCGGAGTGACAAGCAGCTTGGTCAACCACATCACCGGGTAGGCTTCACAAATTCGCACAGAATGCCGCAATATAATTTACGTTTGTTACCACAATTTTTATATCCATTGCATTGGTTCCAGGGTCTCCAATATGAGGAATCTTGCATTCAATGCTCACCGTGGCTACTTCCCCCTCCAGAGTATGTCGTCGTTGCATGCCCAGGACGACACGCACGAAACATCCTTCTCGAAAACAAAACGGCGCATTTCGTCAGGAGTTGGTACCCTTGTACATCACTTCAAGAAACATGTTGGTGTCGGGATTATCTGCTCTGTGGCTTATTTCGATCCGTATGCAATAATTCGCTTTGAATGTTGAAGATAGTTTCTAAACAGTATGTTAGAGGTAATTGGAGTGTCGACCTCCAAGCTGGATCGAGTTTTGGTTATCGGCCCATGCTTTTTGTTATCCTCTTAACTGGCTTGGGTGCCATTGTGTTTCAAGCAAGTTACATATTTTCAGACCACGCTGTTATCCTCATAATTTTCTAGACGCTTGCCTCCAAACTCGGTTGCGTAACAGGGCTTGGTGAATATTTATCACCTTTAATTGATTTTTATTCTAATGACTTTGACTGCCAGATTTGGCCAGTCATTGCAGATTGCTTCTCCATGACCATCCTCGTCACCCCCGTCTTGTTAGGTGGCTAGTTTTATACCCCCTCTACGTTTTGGCAGAGGTTGCTATCATTGCCACCGACCTAGCTGAATTATTGGGATCTGCTATCGGTTTCTGCTTGCTGTTCCCAAAGCTACCTCTTTGGGGCGGTGTAGTTCTGACCGCAGCTGATGTCTTGATATTCCTATCCATTAGTGATCCATCCCGTAGCCAGGGACGGCCAGTTAAGATGTTCGAATACGTCATAATCGCACTGGTATGTGGCATTATAACACTATTCAAATATTCTCTTACCTTGGCGACTGCAAGGTCTTTGCGGTCTTTGCTTGTTTCATTGCCCTACTCATAAAAGCAAAACCAGATTGGCCCCAGGCCTTCATGGGTTATCTACCTAGCAGTGGCCTTTTCCAATCAGACCCAGATGCCGTTTATACTGGTAGGACTTTATAGTCTGTGATTTTGCTACAGTTGCTCTGACATCTGTCCTAGCTATTGGGATTTTGGGTGCAACCATCATGCCCCATGGATTATTTCTTGGATCCTCATTGGCTACTCAAGACCGCATCTCCGAGGCACCGCAAGAAACATTGTCACCTTCTTATACGAGTCGAGCAACGATTACATCCAGGATTCGATGTATGGTTTTGAACTTATTCCGCATAGATCGTGCAGAGCGAGAAACGTCAACGAAAGACTATCGTAGCAAGTACGGCGATCGTGAAAATAATTCTTTGTCTTTCATTCGTCAACACCTGTCCCATGGTATTACCGACATAGTTTCGAGTTTGCTTGCTATTGCGGTTCCGATCAATTCTGCGTCAGTTGTTTTCCTGCTGTTTGATGAACGGCCGCTTGCTGATCGCCGATCATGAAGAATTCTCATCCTTGCTGCAGCTGTCTTTTACAAAGGCCCTACAGAGGACAACGATGTTCCAGCTGGACTATTTGATGCCCATGATCTTATCAAAGCTCGCCTTGGGGGTGGTCAGTTTACTCTAAATTTAAATTTTTTTGATACTGACAAGCCACATGTATGTTACTCCAGGTCCTGCGTTAATATTTGCTCTAGCGCTTGTTTGCGCAGGTCAGGTATCAAGTATTACGGTCACCCTTGCTGGTCAAACAGTATCCGAAGGGTTTATCGAATGGAGGTTTTCGGTATGCATACCGTCTTATTGTCTGTCAATCTATTCGATTCTTATCATACGGAGTAGCCTTTCCTCCGACGACTCATCACTAGATGTATCAGTCTAATTCCTTCCGTGGTCGTGGCCATCGCTGTCGGTCGCAACGGCATCAATGCACTCCTCGTTGCATCACAAGTTATATTATCCGTCGTTCTTCCATTCGTCGCTTTCCCTCTCATTTATCTGACTTCAACTGAGGTTGTGATGCGAGTTCGCGTAACCCCTGCAGATGTTGTCGGACCAGACACATCCCCGCTACAAGAAGTCACAAATTTCCCTGTAGAAGGACTCCAAGAACTCCAAGAACTCCAAGAAGATGTGAGGCCAGAAAGCGTTGATTACAGCAATGGTTTACTACTCACTACTCTATCGTACGCCATTTGGGCTGTGGTTCTCGTCGCCAATGCTTACGCTATCGTTATGCTTATCATGCGTGTCAAATCATAATGATCGATACTGTACTTATATCATCCCGAGTTATACGATCCAAATGTAACCATGCTCTACGGACAACCAGTACTGCTGTCAAGCGGTTACGCTGCAAACAATATCGTGCAAACTGCTTATAAATCTCTAGGAGATACATCAGTTCACAAGTTCCATAATCATTCAACATTACTATTTACTTCCAAGCACCATTAACATTTACAGGATATAAATGATAGGATCGCCTTTGATTCAAGTTGGTACATTTAGAGTTAAGAATGTCTATAGGTTAGGACTGATAGGGAGATCGAAAGAAAGTAGAAATTCAGGTTGGCAGTTGTAGACTCGTAAGAAAAAGGAGGGAAATAGCAAGCAAAAAGATAGCACATAGGTAGGACAGAATAGCATCATCCAGGGAATTAATTAGTAAACCAGAAAATCAATCAATCCACATATTGAAAACGATAGTTCCAAGTAGATAAGGAGAAAAGAAAAAAAAATCATATCGGAGATCACGTCCGTCGCGGGGTCGAGTTGATAAACTAGACGGTACGAAACGTGATACATCGAATGTGCAGGGCGGGACAGCATCCCGTTCGGCAATAAAGCAAAACGAGCCATACATAAAATAATCACTGACGCGCGCGACGAAAGGGTGGCAAGCAAGTGCCTGATGTACTGTCAATAAAAGAGTAGATAGAAGGGAAGATGAAATACTTACACAAAAAGAGAAAAGGGGTTTTTGTTAAACGAGCCAACTACTTGATGTCGTGGCAGTCGCAGGCGTTGTTGCGGCCAACCCATCCCTTGCCGCAAGAGTCGCACCAGCTACGGGATCCGTTCTCAACCCCAACAGACTTCTTAGACGCCACAGGGATAAGGGGAGCACTGATAGATTCATCACGATGAATGCTAATAAGATGACGACCCAAGTCGTGCTTCCTGCTGAAGGAACGACCACATGATCGTTGAGGGCACACATGAGGCTTAAAACGATTAGGGTCGTGGGTAGCCATGTGCGTCTTCAAGTTATATGCCCTAGCAAAAGCTACAAATCAAGTTAGAAGCCTGAAGATAGATATGATAGTAGTAATTACCTCGTGGGCAAGCTGTGCAGCGATATTTCTTCCTGGGGTCACCTTTGGATTCCTCAACAGGCTGGGGAGTAACCGAAGTAACCGTCGGAAGCTGGGCGGAGATATGCAAAGGAGAAACAGAAGAGTGTGCTAAAGAAGGGGTGAATCCGAGATGGGAGTAATAATCCGAAGAACTGGTGGAGTTTCGTCTGGGAGGACAAAAGTCGGAATAGCTGGAGCGAGGAATGTAAGGCTTTTCGAAAACCTTGGAGGAATCCGAGTCTATGGGCACGGTAGGACTACGAGGAGGGGTAGGTGGGAGTGTTCCAAAGCAAGTTGGGTCATTGGTCTCGTCAAGAAGGCTGATGTTAGATTGTGCTATTGAATACTCAGAACCAACGCGGACACGGGAGAACTCCATATCCAAGTCGAGAAGATGCTTAGGAGAGATATTGGAAGGAGAGTAATAGGAAAGTTGTTCGTAAAACGAGTCAGAATGGGAGGACAGAGACTCGAAGGACTCTGAGGATACTGTTATGGTGGAAGGTGGACCCAACTGCTGAGGTTGCTCCGCCTTCCAGTAATTGTATGCGTCGTTTGAGTCTACTGTCAAAAGCTGCAACTGATCGGGATAAGCGGCCAAGTTAGAGTCAATATCTGACTCGAAGAGATCCGGATGAGGAGCAATGACGTCTAAAGGTGAATGAAACGAGAAAAAGTCGAGGCTTTGATGCTGCTTGGTGAACTCGTTGCTATTGTATGGATCGTAGGCATTGAAGAATGACTGTGCTTCCGACATTGTTAATAATTTGCTGCGGAAGGTTTGAAGGGAGTCAGAGGAAGTGAAGGTGGTGGTTGGGAAAAGAGCTGTGGAATCCGTTTCGTCAACCCATATACGAATGCTGCGCACTTACGTAATCATCTCCTTTTGTACTGTAACTATGTCTTTCACTTTTGCCGAAACTTACCTCCGTCGCTTTGCTCCTCCTTTGACTTCATTCATAAAATTTCATATATCACTGCCAGCACTCCCATCTGTTTCAAAAGCTTATCCTTTTAAAATGCAGTAGAGGGCAAGACGATAATATATTTTCACATGTAAACTGACTTACGTGGCATCGACGGCTTTATTTTGCCGTACAAGCACTGCCTTATGACAGGCACCGCAGTGCTGTGGGCGCTGATGGTACGATTAAATATAAGATATAGGCTTGCTTTAAGCATCAAACATGTGCCCGCCTAGCTCAATCGGATAGAGCGTCAGACTCTTAGGCGGGTTGGATCCCAGGATCATCTGAAGGCTGCGAGTTCGACCCTCGCGGTGGGCTAGTATCTTTTGCTGTTGAGAGGGATGAGTGAGTCAGCCAAAATAATATCTTTTATCAATTGAGGTTGTGGTTTATTTTACACTTGGATTTGGTGTAATAAAGTAGACTCGAAGCCAGTAGTAGTAGGCTCAATTATCAAAACGTCCACACGTCGACAATCTTGGTACGAGACTAAGTCCTTCTTAGGTGGTGCTCAAGGGAGAAAATAAAAAATGTGATAAAATTAGCACCCAATTCCATACACTTCTTTTTTCTTTTCTCCAATAACAACGGCTGGTGACGAATGAGCCTAGCAATAAAGAAGCAAAAGAAACAGTAGCCCACCGCGAGGGTCGAACTCGCAGCCTTCAGATCACGATGTGACCGATCACCCGGACCTCCGTAAAAGTCTGACGCTCTATCCGATTGAGCTAGGCGGGCGATATTATTTCCTTATTTTAGCGTCACATAAAGGCAAAGCAGCAATAAATAAGCACTGACGCACTCGAGCTGCAACCGACTGGAGGAAAGTTTACAGGATAGATATTCGTTCCATGTTACAATACATTTTACTCTACATGCAAATAAAAATCGAAAGCGATACTGACAGCATTTACGTTGAATGCACGATACTGTAATAATTACACGCCAACCCTGGTAGGTAAAAAAATGTCAGTATGCCACAAACGTGGAACAATTTAGAGGATACACTCGCCTGTGAACCACTTTTTTCTGTAGAATGCGAAATTAAACAGAATCAGACTCCTAAAAATGCAAAGCATGAGGTTGAAACAAAACTAACCTGCCCAGAAAAGCGAATGATTTCCCTCTTCTCCATGATAAACAATGTTCGCTCAAGTGCAGGACTTGAGTATCCTTGTTGCGAGACAAATTCCCGAACTAGACTTTGATAGCTTGTGCTCCACCCAATGGGTAGTCGTCTCCGGAGTTCCTTTTCTATTTTCGTCATTTCTTCATTCAATTCCCCTCGCGAAAGCCCATCGGCAGAACCAGCAGAAACGGCATCCATTGTTGAGAATTTGAAAAGTCGAATCGCCTCCTCGACGTGATGATTTTGAACTACAGGCGTTAATGTCATTTTTGCTAGCGATTCAGATATACGAATAATGGCTTCAAGTTGTCTGAGCAGCTTCAATCAGTTTATTTAAATTTAGAATTCAGGCAACCACTTACCGAATGGTGATTGGTATTGAACTTCGTTCGTCATTGTCCTGTTCTACTTGTTGCACTTGCTTTCGTAAGCCAACAAAATGACTGCTCAGCATTTCTTGAGCTTCTGCTGATAACCGTGGAGCGCATTTGCTGGACCGTAGATTTAAGTATCATCAAGAAAACAAGTAGCTCACGAAAGCGTACCTTTTACAGTATGCTATATAGGCTTTCATTTTACCCAGATCAATTTCACCAACAGCATTGCCATCTTCGTCCCCATTGACGTTAGGCCTGTTCATGTGGATGTTCATTACGTGCTTGGCAATCATCTAAAAGGCGGCTTTCAGATCGATAGTCTACATAGAAATACATATATATGCCATACCTTGTCTCGAGTCTCATTATGTTCATCTCTTACAATGAAAATCATGTCAAATCGGGACAGAATTGTCGTTTGGAAATCGATGTTCTGCATAAATAAATCAGTTATGTCAGAGAGCAAGAACAGTAAAGATATTACTTCGCCTGGGCTTCTCCCTTCATCATATCTTCCAAATACTGGGTTGGCCGCTGCAAGAACGCTGGTACGTGAATTTAGCACGGTTGTAATACCGGCCTTGGCTATTGAAATTGTCTGTTGTTCCATGGCCTCATGAATAGCTACACGGTCTTCATCTCGCATCTTATCGAATTCATCAATGCAAACGACGCCCGTATCAGCGAGAACCATGGCACCACCCTCTAGGTAAAATTCTCGCTGCAAAAACGTTTGGTGTGTAATATAAAGACATGATGGGTTGGACGTACTGAAATTGAATCTCGCTGAACTGAGGCTGTTAGACCGGCGGCACTAGATCCTTTCCCAGACGTATAGACCGCGATTGGAGCAACCTAAAAACATGTATTGAGCACTCCATTTCAATAATCGCCTTTTAAAACTACCTTCTCGACGAACTTGAGCAGCTGACTTTTTGCTGTACCAGGGTCACCGAGCAATAACACATTGATATCGCCACGTAAGCGCATACCATCCGGAAGAACTTTTTTTGAACCACCAAACAGCAGGCAAGCGATAGCCTTTTTTATGTCTAGCGTAAATTTAGTCAAGACTGCTGCATAAATATTAGGGACATACCAAGGCTTCCAAAGATACTCGGAGCCACACTTTTCGCAAAGCGCTCATAGAATCCATCGCTTCGAGACATCTCCTCAAATTCTTCCTCTTGTTGGGGTGTAAATTGTGCACCGAAAGGATTCGCACCGCCTGCCCCAGCGGGACTCATCAGCTCGATGTGAACCAGGCGAAGGTAGGGTTGTCGAAGAGCGGCAGCCCCTTCCGACTTCTAAATATACCGTCAATACAGTCAACTAAATAGCATGAACAACGAACATTTTTTGAAGAATGAAATTGAGAATAAATCCCTGACGCAATTATTCGGGAGCCAGGCACAACTTTTCCCGTTAAATGTCGATCTGCGCTCAACAGCATGTGTCGGGGCAATTCTCCTACTGGCACCATATCAGGTGCTTCTTGGAGTTTTAGCGTCTGTTGATCCGCGAAAGTAGATTTTGAATGGATGATGAGGTAGGGATCAAGTGGACAATCCTTCCGTTGACCTTCTGGTACTGGCGCATCACAAACGCGTGGTAGCCCACGATCAGAGCCACTTCCCAAGCCTCCCAGACCGCCTTGAGGATATATGATCTGTGATGACCGGCAAGCACGACATTGAAGGTGCAGTTTGACTGCGCGTGAAGAGAGGACAGATGCTGAAATCACAATACCGGGGATTCGAACCAGTTTGCTCATGGTATTGGCTGTAAGTTCGCGAACTTGAAGCAAGTTAAGACCGGATTTAACAGTGACTTGAACTTTGGGAATTGCTTCTGCTGCTGCTTCCGTGCGGTCCTCCGAATTGGCTGCCAATGGGAAGAGTGTCAGACGGGCAGTCTTGGTGGCTGCGTTTTCAAACTTGGAAAACGCGTCAATGACTTGAAGAAATCGCGAGAAAAGTAAGAGTTCACCAAGGGTAAAACATCTGCAGGTCGATCTTGAATGGCATGTGCAAGCTCGTCGTTATAAAGACTGACGTGACGAAGGTCGACCTCAAGTACATGCTGCTTCAGGAGAATATTTCCACGAAGTTTATCGCTGCAGAGAATCAGCAACTGGGAAACAGATAATGCGGCAAGACATACCGATAGACGAATTCGCCTCCTACACGAAATTGTTGGATGAATTCGAAGAGGAGCTTTTCTGTTTCTGAAGGTAAATCTGGAGATGTTGCAGCAGGGACATCGTGAACGGAGACCGAGTAAACGCGGTTTGCATCAAAGCCAGACATTGAGAAGAATGAGCGTTAAAGTGTCTGCTCCAGTGGATACTCAGTCTTGTAACGAGATTTAGGGCAGGTCTTTTCGCGTGGCTACCGTGTGACACTTATTACTTACTACTAAGTAGTAGTACTACATACATAATAATGATATTTACTGTAATTAGTCCATATGATTTTGAATGATTATAAGCCTTTCAAGGTAGAGCTCGAGTAGTTAGATATGAAAATGATATATTGCAATCTAGAGCCACATGTATAATGTCCTTCTTAGCTCAGTTGGTAGAGCGCGTCACTAGTATCCGCTTCGGCGATGACGAGGTCAGTCGTTCAAGTCGGCTAGAAGGAATATGTTTTGTACGCAACGGTCACTTCTCCTGTTAATTACGTACAGACCTTGCTAATTTATTTTGCTATAAGTGTGGCCTGGCCGATAAGATAGTATGTCACGTGCCAGTGAGGTTTGACTCGGACCAGGTCGACAGGTTTCATTTCGACGATGAGTGCGATGGATACAGACGAAATTTCTGTTGTGCTACCTCCTACAACCACGTCCGGATTATCTCTCTCGCTGTAAGGGAAATTCTTCATCGTATGAATAGCAGTTAGTTTGCTAAACGCTTTTAACGATCAGTCATCCGCTGCCCATCTTGAACATATCGGAGCATTTGACGAGGTTAAAGCTACAAAAGAACTCTCCAGATCCTTTCGGTTTTGTTTCATCAATTTGAATTATAACCATTATCATCTCACACCGCGCTTTTTTTTACAGTTCTAGGCGCTCTTTTAGGCACACAAAATGGTCGCGAAGTCGAAATCGTTAATACATTTGAACTCATGGTTGTGGCGAATGACAACGATGTGAATGACTCAAAATTTCACGACTTCCTTGTTTCACGACGCGATCAATGTAATATCTATCTCGGTCCTAGATCTACTGAAAATAATAAGGTTCGTTTTTCCAGACAAGCAAGTATTTCCTTCCCTTGAGTTCATCGGATGGTACACTGTGGCACCTCGACCAACAACCCGGCATACAATGCTTCACGAACAGGTTCTATCTAATTTGCTACACGTTTGTTCATACACAGCACTTATCACCATTACTAGTTCACAAAGTATTGCTCAACGCCGCTGCTTCTAATACTGCAACCGAGTCTCGCGATGACCTCAAGCTCTGACGTCAATGCACAAACACTTCCCTTCAAGGCCTACGAACCAACGATTGAACTCAGGGATCGCAAATCGCGTTCCGTATATATCGAAGTCCCATATACTGTAGAAACAGGTGAAGCTGAACGTATCGCAGTGGATTGGACTGCAAGAGGGGGAGGTAGCGGCACAAGCTGTAACACTGACTTTCCTTTTTTTTACGTTGACTCCCCCTACTCACTCGCTTTTGTTCAGTGGAATCGCATCTGCAAACTCAAAGATCAGCTGTCAAGATGTTACACGAGCGTATACTGATCCTCATCAAATATGTAACAGAAGTAATAGCAGGTAGGAACGCATTTTTTTCATGATACCTGTAGCTTGATATGGATTTTTAGGTCAAGCCCGCCCAGATCAGACTACCCTTCGCTCTCTATCAGCTCTCATTGCCTCATTGCCAGCCTCGGAGAACAAGTACTTTAGACAAGAATTCGACATTGCACGTTTAACACTTTTTCTTGTCTTAGGCTATGAATTAACGCCATAATCTACAACAGGAATACGAAGATGTTCAACTGACAGCATTCCTGTCTTCCCTGACTAAATCGACAAACATACTGAACAACGTAAGTCAAGCCATCATAGCCGTTATTAGACGATATCTCATCTCGTACCTATCTCGCTGTAGCTCGTCGACAAACATCTGGTAATGACTACTAGTCGGGATGATCGAGGCCCTCGTAGAAGGATGGGACGGCAGGGTGCTCCGGGCGACTGGGACCGTTTTCATTGATTAGTATCCCTTTACTCATCATTACAGTTCCAAGATGCCGATTTGTATTATTATAACACTGCGCAACGCTATTTCCTTTCCCTGTGCATAATATTAAAGATATATGGCATACAAAATAATGTCGCAGAGTCAAAATACATGGTTACATTGTACAGTAAGGTAGATACCATAAATGAGTTTTTATATATTAATTATATCATGAAACCTCTAACGAAATGTTTATCTCCCTTCCCTGAGAACTAGAAAAATGTGGTCAGCACATCCCCCAGTCATTTCTCTTGATGATGGATACATACCATTCACAAAAGACCGACTAGATTGTTTCGACAACAGGCCCATGCTAGCACTGGCGAAAATGCCGCCGATTTTTCCCCTTTCCCTACGAGGGCTGCCGCCCAATCCTTCGTCATCACCATGAGATGATGGTTTGACGTTGTTTTTGATTTTACGCCAAAGACCTTGCTGACTGATCGACGCAATAGGAGTTGTATGGGAAGGTGGTATAAACTGCCGAGTAGGAGTGCGAGGCGATGGTGCTGGTAGAGTAGGCTCTGAGATGACCGGAGTGCTATGCTGTATCGTGTTTTCCGCTATGGAAACAGGCGGTTCTGGACCTGGCCTGGACTCTGGAGATAAAAATTTCTGGTCTCCATATTGTGGGTCCGTGGGCTCTGTATACGACGATGGAGCAGTTGTATGTGATGATGAGGCACTTGGAGTCGTCGTCGAGCTGGGCACACTACTAGAGTTGGAGGTGCTGGATGACAACGATCGGGGATCATTAATTTCACGATTAGCGTGCTCGCTGGGCGGAACGTCAAGCTCAGACGGCTCCCTTGTCAGGGGAGAGATATTCAAACTCCCATTGTCGTCACCTGTGAAAACATCTTCGAGAAAAAGTCTCTTATGAATGCCTGCAAGGGAAGTGCTAATGGTAGTGGGGAAATCCCACGATTCGACCGAATTGGCGGATGAGATACGGCTAACCACTCGACGCTCCTGGCGTTGTGTGAGTGGCGGAAGGTCCTCTAAAAGCGGGTAAGGATGTCTGTCGGATGACAAAACAAGGATGAATAACCCACTCAAGATGGCACCGACAAGGTAGGACTTTTTCTTTGCGGCCCTGAAAAATGGTGTCTGAAGAAGCTCTTCCGCAGTTGGGCTATAGATGTCATTCAGCTTTAATAAACATCTGATCATGATATGATTCTTACCGCTTCGAAGGATCTTTGACTAAACAACTGTCTACAATTTCTTTGAATGCACGAGAATACTTGTAAACCCCATCTTCCCGATCTAAAGTTGGAGGGTCTTCTTGTATACTAGAAATATATTCAGTAGAGTGAAATGTGTAAAAGTGTAGGATGCAACTCACATCCTTAACAGCACGCGTTGCGGAGATTCTCTGGATCTTGGGGGACGCCCTTGCGTTAGCTCAAGTGCGGTGATACCAAAACTCCAGATGTCGGCGGAGGAATCGTATTGTCGGCCTTGAATCAGTTCCGGTGCCATCCAACAAGGCTGTGGAACACGTTCATTATCATAAATAGACGGTGAGAACGAAGTTTACATACAGTGCCAACGAAAGATTTTCGTTTTCCTATGCGAGGCCTTGACGCATCCGGAGAAGCCTCGTTAAAGGCTACAGCGCGCTTTGCGCTGCTACTCCTCAGCTCAGACGCCGATTTAGACTGTGAGAGAGCAGAAGTCGGAGAATGGGATTTGTTAGTAAGGGTTGACGATTGTATGTGCGAAGTGTCTTCCGTAAGATCAGCTGCGACTCCAAGATCGCCTAGAAGCACGGTTCCATCATCATCTATGAGAAGGTTTGCCGCCTTGACATCGCGATGTATAAACCCGTTGATGTGCAGGTAGCTTATTGAAACACACAATGTCAAGATATTTATCATTTTAAAAAATAAGGACGAACTTTAAGCCGCTGAGAGCCTGTCTCAAAATACACCGAACGACATCTTCTTCCATACCGCCGGGCCAGCCGTACCGCATGACATCGGCCGCACTTCCTTTGTTCATTAACCGAAGGGCAATGTACAGTCTGTGACCGTCCATCCAAGAGCCTCGGACACGTAAGACGTTGGGGTGCTTCGAGAGAGACATGAGGGTTGTTTCTCTTTGTAAAAGCTGCAGAGACCGCGGCACCAAAGTGTCAAGGTCTAATACCTTGAGGGCACAAGGAATACCCGGCGACGAAGACTGCGCAGAGGAAGGACGGTATACTGCAGCATACACGATTGAGGAGGCCCCAAAACCTATAGGTGGACCGATGGTATAGTCTGCAGGATGGTCACTGGCAGAAAAAGTTCAAAAGGCAGCAGGAGTCATCGTCAAGGCTATTGCTGACCTGTAAAGTTGCCATTCATCTTCCACTGCACCGATGAACTTCTTGGCTCGGCCCATTATATCAATATCTTGAGCGAGGGAGGTGCTATGCCCGTGTAAATGGGCATCGGAAGACATTGTGGCGTCTGGTTATGTATACCCACCCCCGGTGGATGATCTATGTACGGATACGCTTCCAGGAATAATACTTGGTAAGATTTGTTGTTAAAAGGAGAACCAGAAGCAGACCAAGGTTAGATAGAAACAGCCTTTTTGATGAATCGATAAATTTAAATTTAAAATGATTTCGCCACAGACCAATAACAAAGGAGATGTCTTGGGATAAGCATCCCCATGTTGCTTCAGTGGAGTTGGTAAGTAGTCGCGGAACTGACTCAGCAAGTAGGTATCCATCAATAATCTTAATTGATGGTTCTTGTAAGGGCTGTGTGCTTAATCTACTGATAACGGCAAGTTCACAAAGCAATCGTCCGTTGACTTCGTGCCCAGGTTGACGTCATCATTAGGTTTATAGATTTCCCGCAACGTTCGTGTGAGCAGTTCACACTCCTAGTCATCGAACCTTCCCGGAGTCCAACCGATACTCATCGTGGGAAGATATATTTTTCGATCTATTTCGTCGAGCTGAATGCCGAGATCTCCGAGTTGTCGCCAGTGTATATACAAAAAGTGACTTCAAATTCTCCATGGTGATGATCCAACTATTTCGTCAGAATAGTCGACGTCCCAAAGGCAGGTCGTGCCCGCGCCAATATATTATAGATGTTGGCCATCACAGGCCTACCTAGTTTAATCTTCTAAGGTTCAGTCGGATTGGGAGCTTTCCCTTTTAACTAGAGGTCAGCAGGTCAGTCAAGTTCCGAATGTTCGAGCAAACATATAACTTCCTGGTCAGTGCGCTGTATGGAGATTACATAAATACTGGCACCATCTTTCCAATATAATTCCGAAATATTTATCTGGTGACTGGAATGAATTTCCAAAGCAAATACGAAGCAGCACGGCGAGTCACTCTGCCAGTGATCGATGAAACTCGGACAGGA